TGTCATTATATTTCTGGTTTTCCTATCCAGGGCTTTTAGTTCAGCTTGAGTCCAGTCCACTATTCCAGCTGTATATCTAATGACTAGAATTGCCTGGGTGTTAATTGCTTTGACAACTCAACCTTTGACAAACCACCATTGAGTTTGGACTTTGATTTCTTCACTCTTCTGATGTATTCACTACTAACCTTCTTCTTGACTTCAGTGTGCTTGATGTTGTCAGAGCCTGAAGGATACCCAGCTATTTGTAGTGATCTTCTTCATCCACACTCTTGATGTTATTTCCATTGGACATCTTGTTTCCTTCAGTTTTCACTATTTTCCCCCTGTTGATGGTAAGGGTGGCAACATTTGTCCAGTCCAAACTCCATTGCAATATCTTGGCTGTATATTTGGACAGTGTTGAGCAGCAATTCCATTTCAGATGGACTTCATCTTGTTGTTGTTGTTGCTGTTGTCATTATTATTTGTATGCTGCCTGACTCTCAATGACTCTGAGTGGCTCACGAGAATCAAACAAAGAAATTACAATAAAATCAATAAAATACAGAAGATGGCAAGCAGGATGAAGAGAGGGGTCTCACTCTCCCTCACCAAAAGCCTGGATAAAGAGCCAGATCTTCACTGCTCTTCAGATCTGCATATGTCATCCAAAAATAATGCCTTTCCTTACCTGGTATATAACAACTGAACAACTGAGTTCGGATTTTAATGATTCTATATAAATTTAACTTTTCTCTATTTTGCTCAAAAAACTAAGATTATAGAGAGAACAGATCACATTAAACTACAAGTAGAATCTAGACAACATTAAGAATAAAACAGGCTGGCCTGCAAAAATACTCATTGTCATTGGTAGAGCTGAACTTTCTCTCCTTTTCCTCCATCACCTTGCAAAGTATCCCTGCTCCTCTTTGTTTTTTCTTTCCATCATGCTTGGCTGCACTTCTCTCCCTGTCGTTCCCCCCCCCTCCCATCCAGGATACAGCCCTCCTCCTCCTTCTACCTGCTGCTTGGATCCATTTTTTTTTTTCCATCTCAGGATCCAGTTTTCCCCTGCCTGCCTTCCCAACCTAGCGTCCTGCCTTGTCCAACCCAAGACCTAGCCCAATTCCTCCCAGAATCCAGACTGACTTCATCTGTTATTTTTGTTGTTTCTGTTCCTATTGTTATTTCCATTACTTCAGAGCCATGGGCAATAAAGAAATACACTTCAGAAGTATAATCTGTGTCTGTGTGTGAAGGTAAATATGATTTACTTGACCACGGAGTTCACTGGGTGACTTTGGGCCAGTCACTGTCTCTCAGCCCAGCCTGTGTGGTGTTTGGGGGATAAACCAAGATGAGACTGCTATGTAAGCCATTTTGAGCTCTCAGAGAAAGTGTGGGATATAAATGCATAATCAATAAATATATTTTCCATATCATCTACTGGAAAACCTCTCTTTCCAAAGTGCCCCCCCTTTTTTAGAAAGTTCAACTATGATGTAAGAATCTCTTCCTTTTCTTCTTATCTCACCCATTCTTCCATCTCTCTTTTTTGGGAGCAGGAATGAAAAAGCAGATATAGTAAAGAAGCAATAGGAGATAAATTTTGTTCTGAAGGACAAAGATTAGAGATATAAAATATCTTTGGAAAATATAATACAAATTCTGATTCTAATTTAGCTTAAGTAAATTAGGTAAAGTATTATTCATTATTAGGTAAATAATGAAATATCTAGGAAAAAAATAAGATAAGATTTTCCCACGTTCAACAGTAGAAAAAATAGGGCCAAATTCAAATAATATTTTAGAAGGATCTCCTTAACCTTCTTAAGTGCTCATCTTGATGCTTTAATAAAAAATACTTTTATTTATTTATCAAATGTATATACCCCAGTAATCTCCTAGAACTCCTGGTGGTAATAAATGTATTATTTATTAAAAATATTTCTATCCCACTTTAAGATGTGTGATCTTCATGAGGCACAGTCTATTCCTTTCCTTTTAATTCATTTGTGTCAAGAACCATGTAGCCTTGTGGGGTTACTGCTGGTGACCTGTGCTACATATTTGTTCTGTGGCATTCTAACCTACTTCTCATCCCAGTAAGAGCACTAAAGAGAACTAACATGCTTCTCAGCATTGAATGCTGGAATGGAAGTAAAAACAAGCTGGTAAAAGAAAGAAATGGAGGTAGCAAAATAACCTTGTCTACTGTCAATATGTAACTTGCATTACCTCTGTGAGAATGAAACTCTTTAAAAAAGGCTCTCCAGTCACACATTATATTTTCTATGATTTGTTCTGCTTATATTCTTTCATAATTAACGTGGAGAAATTGTCATCTAATAGATGGCAGCATTTGGAGTAACATTTTGATAGGGCAGTTTATCGTATTTCATTCAAGTCTGTATTTGTCTGCAAAGGCTGTGCCTATGAAATGAGACCATGACAACTGATGAGGCTACGAAGAAGGAAGGAGAGGTCCAAGCAGCAACTCTTGCTGAACAAGGCGAAGATATCACACCAAATAAAGATCGAGGAGTTCTGAAGGTGAGATTGTAGGAGAAGTTAATGTTCTTTTTCAAGCATAACAGTTTGGAAACATGCCAAGTCAAATGGCAGCACATTCACCCCCCACCCCTCATTACAATGATGCAGAGATTCTCTGCCATAAAGTTTTACATAAGCAAACAAAATGAGATAAGTACAGGATACTGTATAACACATTTACACCATTTTAAAAAGGCTAGATGTTTTGAGTGTTTCCAGAGGAATTAAGTAGCCCTTGAAAAATATGTATTTCAGTAATCTTACAGTTCTAATTTAGTCTTGTGATAAATGTGAAAAGGAGGGATTTAGCTAGATGTAAAAGCCACAATGACATAGAGGATTGGAGATGACTTTTCAGGTCCGAAACAGATACCATAGTTGAATACAGTGTAAAATAAAAGATCCAGTTTGGATACTACAGCAAAATATGCAGTTTCTTCTAGTGATCAGTACATGGCAGAATGCATTTTGCAGCATTCTCTATGATAAATGGAACAAACACCAAATCTCCCATATAATCAACAATAGATTATCTAGGACAGGGTAAGCCCACTGGCATCTCCAGGTGGGGCAAGGTGGGGGGGGGTCAGAGTGATGAAAGCCAAGTTGTGGTGTTGAGATGCAAGACCCACCTCTTATCTACCTGCAGTGCAGTTGCATCCATGGCCAAAAGGGTAGAAGTTGTAGCACCACTTTAATGCTGCTTACATCAGAATAACAAAAAAAGAATGACAAAAGAAGTGTGGATGCCATGCTGATGCCTTTTAGATATTTTGGATTGTAACTCCTAAAATCCTTGACCATTAGCCATGTTGACTAGGACTTACGGTTCAAAATATTTGGCAGGTTTACCTCCTGATTTAGGTGCAAACTTTTTACAGATATGGGCAGCCAAGCAAAGGAATGAATATACAGTATATGAGAGTGTACCACAGCCTTAAGACATTGGGACGAAGATATTTCATCCTATCCAGATCAAAGGATCTGTATCATGATTTCAGCTTTGTGTTTCAGTCAGTTGACCCTCATCCTGAGTCAGTGCACCAACACAAGTTTTGGCCTAGATGATAAAGAGTAATTTCAGTGACATCATGTGGGCTTTTTGTCTTATGATGTTCTGGTGAGATGGATATCCTTTCTCTTGTCACTTCAGCACGGTCTACTCATGTAATGGAATGAAATAGCATTTTAGTACCTCCCCTGTGTAAAAATATAGCACTTGAAGAAGATAAATTTATTTGAAAGTATGTGGATTCCACTCCTAACCATTATTGGTAATGTGGTTCACATTGTTTAAACAACATTGTCATGATAAAAACACAACAGCCACACACATTAATAAATATAAAAATTGGGATAAAACCCATAGTAGTCTGATGAGTATAAAACAGAGTTGAAAAAGAAAATAAATGGGAGCAGATGAATGGTCAGCAGAAGGGAGTTTCACAGGCAAAGTGCCACATTCAGAAAAATCTAGTCATGATCTCAGAGGGTTCAAACACTTTGCGGGACCTTGGCAGATCATTCTACCATTCTGCTGCTTCATGTAGTTCTGACCATTATATGCTAACAGCAGCTATTTGAGAGATTTGAGTTTATAATAAGCCCCTTGCCTTTTTTTTTTTTGTAGTTACTTGTAATGCATGCTGATGTAATGACTACCAAGTTTTTGTTTATCATTCAGTTCTCATTATGGATGATTGGCCAGGAATTGGTCACCCCTTGGAGTATTTTTTGTGCTGTGTGAATCAATGCTATATTGCAGAATTACACATTAAGAAGAACAAATTGAGTCATTACGAATGGGTACATTGGAAGTCATAGAATTTTCTGGGATGTAGTCCATATGTACTTCTTGCCTTATATTCTGATTATTGTTTTTCATCTATCTATTCTCATGTATATATGCAGAATATGAAACTAAAAATCCATGCATTTGACTAATATGGAAGAAACTTTAGAATTGATCACCTGATAAACTCCTCTCAACTTCACTTTTCATATCCTAATTCTAGATTGTGAAGAGACCAGGGAATAAGGATGAATCTCCTATGATTGGAGACAAAGTTTATGTCCATTACAAAGGAAAACTGGCCAATGGAAAAAAGTTTGATTCCAGCCGTGAGAGGAATGAGCCATTTATCTTCAGCCTGGGCAAAGGTAAAGAGTGGAAAAGGTGGAGAAAGGTAAAGAGAGCCTTAGGGATATGAATGGATTTTTTCCAACTAAATTACAATGTATGTGTATATGATCCTGTTTTCAGAAAGACTGTAAGAGCAAACAGAGAAAACTCCAAGAATTAGCAGATATGTGGATCTGTCACTACTGGGCAAATCAGGCCCTCCGTGTTTTTTTTCTTCATAATATTACTATGAAATGCTGACCTTAGCTTGCAATGCTATTTCTGGATGCACTGAAGATGCAAACATTACAAAATGGTTTAACTCTTATTCCCACCACAATCTGGGAAACTTGAAAATTATATTTCTGTCATAAGATTAGGGACCTTTTAAAGGAAAATTCTGCATATGTGCATTTATAAATGTTCAAGTCTTTGGTTTCTTGAAGGGAGTTATTATACTAATTTGCCCTAATAGTTTAGATTTCTAGGGTAGATTTGCCCTTAGCAGTTCTTGTGAAAATGGGATATATTACTGCGCTATGACTTCTATAATTCAGAAAGTATGCCTGCAATATTTAATATATAATTGAAAAAGATGTTTTCTAATGTTTTTGTGCAAGCATGAGTAGTTATTTGTCATTCTTGCAAAACATATATGCTCACTCCCTTCTTTTTCCAGTCAGGGACTAAATTTCCAGTTCACCATCAAGGCTCACACAGGGCTTGCTTTGTTTGTAAACATTAAGAATTATCAGATGGGGGAATCTTCATCCACCCATTGTGCAGCTGCCAGCTTTTTGTAGGTTTATAAATATTTTTGAAGCAAGCCTGGAGTTTTCAGATGTGAATAAAATTTACATGATTAGTAACCTCATGTGATGTATCTGTTACTGATTATGGGTGGGGAATCAGATGCTTGACCTTTCTTCCTGACATACTAGTTTTGTATATGCTTTTTTGTTTTGGCAGAACATAAAAATATGTATTTCCATTTCCCATCAGTTACAATCTGAAATGGCGCAATAAAAAAATACATGCGTTATATGAGGGTGCGTATCACTGTTTATTTTGACTGTGGAAAAATACTTTGGGTAATGGCAATACTGTATCTTTTCAATTTGGTTTTAGAAAAAAGGCAGATCTTATAATTCTGACAGAGTAAGATTCTCAGTCATCTGAGGAATTTTGGCATAGTTGCCAAGCAGCATGATTGCATAGCTGTGAAGGAAGACAAGCTCATTGTTCAACCTATGTGAATGTGTAAAGCTGCATTATAATGAATCATGGCCATCTAAGCATTGGAGCACATCTAGCTCTGATCTGAATAAAATGGACTGTCCAAAGTCATTCTCAGGATCTATTTTCAGCCGTAGCACTTCTAGAGGTTTTCATCAGACCTTCTACAGTTAACGCACATAACTGAAAATGTGTTCAGCACTGGAAAGAAACAAAAAATTAAAATAAATACAGTCAAATAGTTGCTAAATTTTAAAACTAAGACAGCAGGTTTAAAAAGTAGAATGCATGGTATCTGCTACAATGGCTTCCACTATCAGAATGGGAAAAGGCTATTTCTTTCAGCCTGTCATACATCAACAACAGTGCTCTGGAGCAGATTTTGAATGTGCAAGGAGAACCTGGGCGAGAAAAGAAGAATACATCCTGCTGTTTCCATTCATATGAAAATGATTCTGCCCTAATTCCTGGACACTGGGGATGCTTTCAGGTTATCAAGACATGGTTCCATTGAAATCTTCCTCTTTCTTTTTCTGATGTGTCAAAATGTAGTAAAACAACATAGTTATTAATTGTGGTTTTTTAAAAAAACTGATTAAACTCTATAGGGGAACTTTAACTGTGGTAGCCTTTTCAAATTTCTTTTTGTGAAAGATAATACTTAGATAAGTAGTTATGTATGTCTGTAATAACAAAAAGAAAACATTTTGAACACTAGCTTTTGTGGTTTATAATTGGCAGTTTATAAAACTGAAAGTACTAAAGCTGAATTTCTTTCAACAGCAATGAGATCTTTGCTTCTTGGCAAACGTACAAAGGCTTGATAAAACTGTGTGCTTATTATGTATGGATCTATACTTTCCAGTGTGTAAGTTTTGTAATACACTTTTGTGCCTTTGAAAATGGATGCATTATTCATTCTCGGTGAAGAGATGGAATTCCACTGAGCCATGAAACTATCAAGTTCATACTTACATTTTATACTATAAGACAGACTAGCAGTTTTCATGCTTAGTTTAGTTTAGTATTTTAAATAATTAATTATTGCTTGCACAAATCATATTTTCCTATATTTGGATAATATAGGATACTGATTTGTTCATAAGCAAAAGCCACATGTAGCAGACTATGGGAAGGCCTTGGGGGTCAGGAGAAAGAGCCGCTACCAAGACAGTGGTCAGATAAAATAAACCTGAGTCCAGGGCACAACTGTAGCCTGAGAAAAAGATTCATGCCATGTGCTTTCCTTATGGTTAAAGGAAAGATGAACAATGAGATTAAGGGCTGATCTGCACTTCTTGCATGTCCCAGTTAGAGGAGAGGCCACCCACCGCTTGGGGAGGACAAGAACAGATCACATTGTTTTCAGCCATCTTAGGCTCCTAGGAAGGTGACCTCCACCTGACTTTCTCTGCTTTCCATCAAAAGTAATTGTTTTTCCTTCTTCTCTGCTACAAGTGAAACAATCCACTCTTTCTGCTGTGCTTCACTCTCTTACACAAATGCCTCTTTTCCAATTGGCTGTTCTTTACTTTGATGGGCATCATGCCCTTCCCTACCCCTACCCCCACTCCTGCTCTCTGCCTTTGCCTTTGCCTGCCATTTTGCACTGGGCTGCCTGCCAGTAAACACCTTTCTTTCCAGGTTGAGTAGTAGAACATTGAAATGCTGGCTATGCCTTTTTTAATATTTTGCTATTGTTTGAACAGGTTTAGCAGAGAACCAATGAAATACCAGATTTTTCTTTGTTTTTGTTTTTTCTTTTAACTAGACAGAAGTGATGAGTTCTGCCAAGTTTCCCTTTCTAGCCTAAGTAACAGGGAGAAGTGTAAAACTGGGGCAGGGGGGTGGAATGTTCACTCATCCTCAAAACCCATGGCCAGAGAAGAGAAAGCAATTAGCACTTGCTTTCCTGGCATGGGTGGGAATAGAAAGAAGTAGGGAAAAAGATAATCAGGGATCAAGCTGACCATAGTCTGGACAGAATACTGTATGTGGCTGTCACTGTGGCCAAAGTGCAGGAAGGAATTGAAACCTAGAAAGGGATTTCTTAAGCTGGCTTCCTTTCCAGCCAGTTCACACACACAAGACAAGCAGCTTCAGTGCAGAAAAGCCATATGACTTCTGCAGATCATGCTAAGCTTCAATATAGTGTAACGTCTGAATTCGATGGTTGTGCAGAACTTCCTTGCTGAAATCATTGCCATCTCAATGAGCACTCTACAGTTTATTTAAACTGTCAGATAAAAATGTGTTTTAGACATAGTTTAAAGCTTAGTATGGTACACTATTTTATCATTTGAGCATTACTTTGCATATTTCTAAATGATTCAAGAAAAGAAGCTTACTGAACAAAATTATTAAATTGAAATCTTTCTTTTAGGTCAGGTAATCAAGGCATGGGATATTGGGGTTGCCACCATGAAAAGAGGAGAGATCTGCCACTTGCTATGTAAGCCAGAATATGCATATGGTTCTGCTGGTAGTGTCCCAAAGATCCCCTCAAATGCAACCCTCTTTTTTGAAGTAAGTTTATAAAATATGTTTTATTTTTATTTATTACGCATATTTAAATTCCACTCATGGTTCTAAAAAAAGTTAACTACAGTAAAATACATATATATATAAAAATGTAAATTATACTTTTATATAATTAGTAACTCTGTTTACTAAGTAATTAATTTGTGAGTTATCAATAAAACCAATAAAATTCACATTTGTTTTTCCTACTCTGGGAAAATGTATGTGCAGAAGGTCATCAGGGTATTTTTAAAAAGTTAAAGTCTGGAGGCAATCCCATTTTACACATAAGATGAGGCATGAAGAAGTGGAGGCAATGCTTATCAAATTTGCAAATGAGAGAACATTAGGTGGACAGCTAATACCCTACCTTGAAAGGTGAGAAGTGGACTGAAAGTAACAGTATTAAATTTAACAGAGATATATGCAAAATTCTTAATTTAAGGAAACAAAAATCAAATGCACAGATATAGAATGTTAGATGCTTGCCTTGATAACAATAATTGCAAAATTACCTTGGCATAGTAGTTGATTGCTGATTGAATATGAGCCAGCAGTGTGATGTGGCTGCAAGGAAGGCAAATGCAATTTTAGATTGCAACAACAGAAATATAATTTCTGAGATGAAACAAGTTCTTTAAAAAAATATTGAGGAACAGAAAACTGATTTTTCATTCAGAGGATAAAAAACTAACTTGGACCAGTTATTCATGCTAGATAGCTTTACATCTACAGAACTTTTAGAAGAAGTTTGATTATTATTTTCTTTAAAACAGATAATCTTATACCTAAAAGTACGAAAATACTTTTCATTCACATAAATCTTGTAAATATTGCTAACAAATGAATCAAAACTTGATCTGTTGTCACCTTTCAAACTTTTGTAAAGTAACAGATGTTAGCCACAAAATTATTTTCAGTCCACAAAAACACTTCCAAAATTGTTAAAAGGGTTGCCAATAAAAATATGTTACCTTCCCAGGAACAAACATTATGAGTTTCTTATCTTGGATTAGTCTTGTGATTTTTATTCAACTATAAAATTTCTGTTAATGTCCTATAAAAACTATGAGACAAATTTACAGTAGTGGGAAGTCTAATTAATTGGCATAAATTATGCCCCCAACAAATATATGTTAGAACTGTGAACTGTTTAGCTACCTGATATATTCATCTAAGCAGCATGTCAGTGCTTCAGATACTGTGTTGCAGGGGCAAAATTGTAACAGGCTTGAAAAAAATCATGCCCTTGTCCTTTAAATAACATAACTGTTGGAAATGTATGGTATCATTTAAATGCTGTTTAGACAGCCAGGGACTCCAAACCAATTCTGCATAATCAGACAAGCAACTGGGAAACAGACCGAGACAGGGATGTGGAGGGCCATCCCCGAAGCTGCATTGCACAGAGCCTGAGGAATGCAATGATTTTGCTCAGAAATTTGCTATCTCTGCAAGGCTTAGTGAATAAGGAATCAGCGAAATGTACGCAAACATTTTTTTAAAAGTAGTTAAAATAAAGTCTCCTTTAAATCAAATTCCAACTCCTGGTGAGTTCATTGATATATCAATATTGTTTTCTCAGCAACAATGTGGGAGTAGTTTGCAATTGTTTTTTATGTGGTGTTTTTCTGGCTTAAATTCTGCTCTACAGCCCTGAATTTTTTGGTAGCCTCCCATCCAACGTACCTAGCACTTTAAGACCAGTCAGGTTTGGCTAGGTGCTGATACCTAGCTGGGCTTAATATGAAAACAAAAACAAAAAATCTTCCTAAAGTTGGGAGAATAGTATTTCTAAATGAAGTTTATTTAACTTTGACATATCATTGGTTCTAATAAAATCTAGCGTAATGCTGATTCCCATGATTACTCTGGTTATAATGCCTGGTAAATCCGTTGGAATATTCCTTCTGAGAAGATACAACAGCTGAACTAAATACTTCATATATCCTTTTTCTTATAAATATAGAGGAAAGCAAGCTCACTGGAAGAGTTATTATATGGATTTGTCTTTAGATATTATGCATCTGTGTCTTGTCAGTACGCTTTTATGTAATGGAAATTACATTGTTTAAAGTTTGAGCTGTTTATTTGTTCATCTAGATTGAACTGCTTGATTTCAAAGGGGAGGATTTATTTGATAATGGAGGCATCATTCGTAGAATCAAGCAGAAAGGAGAAGGATATTCCAACCCCAATGAAGGAGCAGCTGTACAGAGTAAGTGTCTACTTCAGCCTGTATAAATTACAGAGGTCATTGCACAGAGTAGTTGTATTGTCTTTCTAAAGTACAGTATAATAATAAAAGTAGAAGCCACGGCAATGTTCTGATAAGCCCCTCTTTCTCTCCCTCCTGCCCCCCCCCCTTGGTAATATATGGGTAAAATTTCTGACTTGTAATCTGTCATATAGAGAAAATAAAGGTGGGTATTCTGTTTCCCCCTCTGTGTGTATGTGTGTACATGTTAAAATAAAATATTAAAAAGAGAGGTTATCCATTGAGGCAGAAGTTTGCGGATACATCATCTCAGTTAGGAGTAATAATAATATTGAGTTGCACGTTCTCTCTTCCTCTGGTTTTGGATACAACCCTATAGTATATCAACCCTAAATTCTACAATAGTCTCTAAAAGAAACTAAGTATATACTTGCAAGTTACGTATTTTCTGGATTTTTTTATGCTAGATATGAATTCCTCAGAAAATAAGATTCTAATATTGCATATGCTATTCTAATAGTGTCCTTTATCATTCCCACCATTAAGGCTTGTTTGGTTTCTTTGTGATTATGATTGCAAGCTTACTGTATTTTAATTAATATGTTTTCTTCCTGTTCATATAATGCACAAGTGTATTGCTAGACATATTTATAGATATCTTACATTGTTTGTTTGCTTACTCTTCTAGAATGTCCAGTAGCCAGAAATCACTTGTTTGAGATGGGTGGCTATACAAATTGAATAAATAAAGAAATAAAAATAAAGAAACTACATTTCTTTGGGCAGTATACAAATCCACTGATACATAATAATTTTTTTTTTTAATAATATATAAACCAATGAAAAGTACAGGGCAGCCACCTGTTAATCTTTTCCATTAATTGAGAGAACAGCTACTTCATCTTCCTCATCTTGCTTTATTATTGATGAGGCTTATGAGAAATAGGGGCTAAACTCAGTGGAATCATTTCAAATGTATATCTAGAAGATAAGATCCAGGCATAGTAGCATAGGTTAGTTGAATCTTTTAATACGCTTTTCTTTCTAGCAAGCTGGGCATTCCCAGGGCTTCTCTTCTCCCATGGGAAAAAAAAGTTGGGAAATGTAGTCTCCTTTTTTATAAACTTGTTCTTTGAATTATAATGAATTATTAGGTAACAGATTATTGACTTGAGGAAGAATAATATTCTGATGATAATGTAGGGTAGCATTCTTCATCCCTTATGTTAGAGTATCTAGATGGCATTGATGTCAACAGGTTTCATGCCTGGTGAGAGCAGCTCAGTGCATGGTATTTGTCCTTCATGCTCATCATGCTGTGCTTCTAATGACTGAATCACCCAGGACAGAAGCATTGACAGACATGTCCTTGTCAGAGGAAGATGGCTGTAGTTTGTCTCCCAAGGAATGAGCCTACTTCCAAAGATAATTTTATGTTTCCTTAGACTGATATCCTTTCTCTGTAACAGCAGCAGAACTGTCAGATTGAGTCTGGGATGCTCCTATCACATCTTAAAAGTTTTAAGTGTTTCTTTCTTTCTGCCTTTCTCAGCTTCTGCTGATCAGCTCCCTGGAGCTCATTACATGTGCACACACCTACAACTGGCAAGATGTTGTGCTTCCACACCCTTGCTAGCTTTCTACTTTTTTGGGTAGTTTTTAAAAATTGATTTATCTGGAAATAAATTACTGGAGGAAGAAGAGGTTATGTTGACTGTCTGTCCTCCATGCAGTTACTAAACCTTTCCCCCCTCCTCCCCCTTCGCTTTCTTTCCTGATCGTGTGGGCTTTTAATCCTGTAGGGCTGGAGTTCTGTTCATGCCTATTCTAATTCCCTGTTTGTTCTGTCATTCGTTTTTTCTGGCTTGCCAATTCAGAGGGACATATAAGTGGTATTGTTACCACATCTTCTGTCCCTAGTTTGCATCTGCATAGTCAAAAACTGTGATGATAATCCTAAAAATAGTTTTTTAAAAAAGATTTTTTAATCCCGCCTTTATTATTTTTATAAATAACTTAAGGCAGTGAACATGACTAATATTCCTTCCTCCTCTTATTTTCCCAACAGCAACAACCCTGTGAGGTGGGTTGGGCTGAGAGAGAGTGACTGGTCCAGAGTCACCCAGCCGGCTTTCATGCGTAAGGCGGGACTAGAATTTAGAGTCTCCTGGTTTCTAGCCTGGTGCCTTAACCACTAGACCAAACTGGCTAATTTAATTTAATAATTTAAATTAAATTATTAAATTTAGTAATTTAAGTAGTTGTGAGTGGTATGGAAATAAGATGTTCAGAAGAAAGTAAATGTCTGTTATTATCCTCTGTTCTAGGAGATAAACATCTTTGGATTGAGAGCCCATTTCAGATTTCTTGTCAACTGTAGTGAAGTGGAAATGTGTTGATTGATTTAATATGAATATAGGAGGTTGGCAGAAAACCAAAAAAGTTATGATTATATTTTGAAGACAAGCAGGTGGTAAAACATCCACAACCCTGATTAACTGATAGTATTTCTGCTGAGTTGTAGTAAAGCCCAGCATTAGTTAGGAAGCTAATTCAGAGATTCCTGACATTACTAAAATTAGAATATGCATGTAGTTGTGTTAAAATCTTAGGACAGGATTTATGTAGACAACCTTATTAACTTGAATGATACGGCATATTTCACAGCTGTGCTTCCTAAAACACAGATTATGCTTGGATATTTGCATTTCAAGTTACTGTGCAGCCCTCTGCTGTTTTAATCAAGTTGTACAAATTGCTGTCAGTGCACAGAGTTCATGTGCCAGCCACATTAAGAACACAATGTTCTGTGCTCTTCAAAACAAAATTGCTCTAGGCACAGAGAGAACAATAAGTCAACTCAACAGCTGAACTGATGTTCCCTAGTCTGGCTGGAATTTCTTACTGTGCAATCCAAGTGTAATTCTACCCAAGTGATCTCTTTCAGATAGTATTTAAGTAAGCTTTGATAATCATGTTATGGAATTATTTCCTGTACTATATTTACACAATTCATGCAGAATGATTCTATTAAAGAGCGAACTTAGGTGGTTAAGCGTTGTTGGCATGGAAGAGAAATGGGACCACCCAAAAATTAATATATACCTAATATATTTATATAATAATTTTGAAGTGTGTACATTAAACTTTTTTCTAACTACAATCCGCCCCCACCCCCTGATAAAGATACTGAGTGGAAGCTATAAAGTTAACAAAATATTGCAAGAGCTCATTTTATTATCTGGAAAAGGGGCTTCAAAGTTCACACTGAATGCCAAAGAAAGGAACTCTTATCTTTTGCTGCTATGTTTTAAATTAGGATGACATGCTATTGCCCAGTCACAGTTATTCAAAATATTTTGGTTTTTTTGTTATTTTCAATGGACAGCTCATATCAGTTCTACAAAACAATAATGTGTGGTGATACATTACAGTAGGAAAATTGTTATACATAATATATGCTCAAAAATATATCTGGAAAATAGAAATGTCTTTAAAATAACAGATCAGGATCTTCGGAAACTGCCTGTGTACACAGGGAGCTAATTAATTTAAAGCAGATACATGTCTACTGGACAAATGTATCACAGCGCATAAGGTGATGCCATAGTACTTCTGATCCATTAGTCCCAGTGACGTGGCCACTAACAACTTCAGTACTACAAGACTTCCATGTATCACCGTAGACAAGTTTCATGTTCACTTAGGCCACTCATAACATACTTTGGAGAATAATACACACTACACAATACCTAGAATCCTTGAATAGGATACCTACAAAGAAGATTCACATTGCTCAAGACTCTTAGAGGAGAAAATGCTATGTGGATTTCTTTTTGTATGTTTTTGCAAAAGACAAACAATCATTACCAGCAATTGGAGAGTCATAGGACAGGGCTTGGAAAGTGGCAAAAAGTGTTGTTTCGGAGACATAAAGAGAAAGCTCCTAGAATTCAGATCCACGCTATGGTCCTCTTCCTGTTTTATTACCAAACAGTATAGGCATTTTTGCTATGTTCCTCCATATATCTTTGTCTTCCTATGTTCCCATTAATATGCAGTAGTCACTATATCTATTAATAGAAAGCAGGTCAAAACTCAAAAGATTGTCAAATGGGAAGAAAAACGTAGCATATACTCTTATAGACTGTGTATTAATAATAATGGAATGAAGCTCACATTTCAAAAGGACTTGAGCTCTGTTTATGTGAACAAAATCTCTGGTGGAAAGTGGTTTTGAACTCCCATCCAACTTTATTTTGTAGTATTTTATGCTAAGTTTCTGGCATCTCGTTACATTTCAACTTTTGCATGATATGCATGCTTGATGATCCACAGATACCTAAACTTAATGTTGGCTTCCAGTGCAAAAGGCTTTTAAGAAGAGAGGGTTGTTTTGTTTTACATTTGTTTTATATTTATATTGGCAATTGTTTTTATTAGGGCATCAAATACTGACTTCAGTATGAGAAGGCCAAGGGTTAGAAATTACAAGGAAGAAGCAAAGGATTACTAGGGTTCAGCTGATTTCTCTGTGGGATACAAATACAAGACGTTGTAGTGCCTTAAAGACAAATAAAAGTACTGTAAATGTTAATGGACTAGAATCCTCTTCATGAAATGCATGAAGCGTTTCCTAAGCCAGCAAATTTGTCAGGAGGAAGGATGGGCATTGTAAGTAATGCAAACAAAGAGAAATAAAATGAAAAAATACTCAATGTATGTAAAATTAATTCAGGGACCAGTCAGAAAGCATTGTTAATGATAATTCAAACATCATGGCATTAGTAAGCTAAAGAACAGAGTAAAAATCCATTACCTCAATTCAAACCATGCTGATTGACTTGAATTTTTTGTTTATGTGGGATAGCTGCCTTGAACACGATTTGTAGGTTGAAAAGTATGGAATAAACTGGAAATACAAATATTACATTGACTGATGGGCAGTTGAACAAATTTTTGATAACATGCTAGGCAGTTGGAACAGTGTTGCCTGAATAGATATAATTCTGGATTTGTTTGCAGAATCTAGTCTGTAGACTAATCTTTAGTCTAGACTTAATATGTGGCCTGGTTTTGGTGGTAAGTTAGGGCAGAATTTGGGTAGAGGTAGGCAGTTGGTGTCTTGGGCACTGGAATGACCCCAGGCATTCCCTCTGATGCCCATCATACCCCTGTCTATATTGCTTTCTAAATGTTTTTTAAAGAGATGGCATGCTGGCAAAATAAATAAATAAATCATCCTCTAGTATCATATTTATTTGTACCTACAAAAGTCCCAGTAGAATGGTAGAATGTACCCTGAGGAAGGGAATAGCACACCTGTTAGTAAATGAAAATTTTATGACTGGCCAAGGTTACCATTTTATGGATAGGTAAGTCTCCTATGGCGACCAAGCCCTGAGTGCACCCATTACGTGATTGCAGTATTCCTAATGTTCTTCCATTATAGAACACTCCATAAGTTAATAGTTACTATGTTTACTTTACGTAAGCTTTAATCAATATTGACAATATGTCATGCCAGTGTGTCATTCTTTGCAGTCACTGAGAGACATCTGGCCCATTTTTATATTCCAGTTATTGGCTTAGAATGAATACAGGTCTCATTCTTCGAGTAACTTAACACTCCCAATTTCTTCTCTTCCATCCAAAACAGGAATGGGCAGAATTTTGGGACTGGTGGATTACACTGAGTCCTTTGGAGACTGCAGCAGAGGTGGAAAGGGTTGGTGAGAGAGGTCATGCCCAGTCATTCTCACACATATATAACTGCCAGTTCCTACATATGCATATATATCTACATAACGTCTGTCAACAATAATCTGGCTCAGCCTTCCCTACTTGGATGCCTTCCAATTATTATTATTATTGTTTTTTGGCAACATTACAGAAGTGTTTTACCATTGCCTTCTTCCGTGAATTGTTTTCAACTTCCCAGTCTAGCCTATAGCCTTGGTGTTTCCATGATAGTCTTTCAATCAGTTCCTAATCAAGTCTAACCCTCCTTAACTTTAACGATCAGTGAAAGCCAGGATTCTCAACCACATAATTCCTTGTTACTAACCTTATAACTCTGTTTTATGTCTAAGATCATATTTATGTGGGATAGTATTCTTAGGGCAGTCTACAACTTAATATCATTTTATCTGCCTTTAGAAAAACCTCCCATACCTGTTCTTGCTTGTTACTTAGCAGGTATAGTCGTGGGGACATCTGAGAAATTTGCAGATTAACCTTTCAAGACATGATTATCATATCTGTCAGAGCTGATCAGAAAAGAGGCAGATTAACTATTTTCGTTTAACTTGTCCAGAGAGGCGTGGACCTCCATAGTGATGCTTTAGGCAGCATGTATGCATTTCCTCTCTCTTTCCGTGAGCCATAATGGAAAGGGAATTATTGCATTAGAATCCACAAATAGCTTTCTTTAGGAATATTGTTGTAATCTTGTAGTTGGTCTTTCCATTACAATCTGACAAGTCACAAACAAACTGTTCATATTTATAAATTGTAGTATTAATCTACAGTAATTATAGTAAAGCAAACAGTCAGTGGCTTGTTCTGCAACATTAACAGTGACATTCTCTGCCTGGCAAGAAAGGTAAAGCTGTTTGGCTCTTCCTCTCTCTGTAAATTATTCCTTTCAGTCCTTGCTCCTATCTAAATTTACAGTGTTCTCCACAAGGCACCAAAGAAATCATGTCCTGCCAATGTAATGCAGGTGCCATTTGACAGCTTTTTGTGCTCAGGCAGAATGTCAGGAGTTTTTGCAGTGCCACATTCCAAGCTGGGTTCAAAATCAGGCAGGATTTTGCTGCCTAATACCAAGAGCTGCCACGTCCACACCAAAGCCTCAGAGAACTGAGCCACAATGTGAGTAAACTTGTCTTCAGCTCTGTAGGCTAAGAACATTTGTCCAGGTTTTAGAAAAGTTCACATCAATCAGCTTAAGAATTCTGGGGTGAATAGTGGTCTCATTTTATAAATGGGAAAAGTCAAAAGCAATATGGCTTTGGAGTTTCCTTTGGGACCAAGCTCTTCTGTTACTCCAGCTATGATAATACAAGAATGCCAACAAATAATGTGTTTTAGTCATGCATATCAAAATGTTGATGGTAATGCCTTACAGCCCATAATGTTTCTCTCTCCCATACAGTCCATTTGAAAGGATTTTGTGATGGCAAACTGTTTGATTGTAGAGATGTAGCATTCACTGTTGGAGAAGGGGAAGACCATGACATTCCCATTGGAATTGACAAAGCTCTGGAGAAGATGCAAAGGGGAGAACACTGTATCTTGCATATAGGAACACAGTAAGAAATGTGGGGGGTGTATCAGTCTGTCCCCCCCTTCCTCCCCCCCTCCCACTTTTAGGTGCCTTTAACTCAGTCTTGACTTCTGGTGTCTACCTGGAAAAGTCTATACAGTTTTCTTGGCAATATTTTTTTAAAGTGGTTTGCCATTTCCTTCTTCCCAGGGCTGGGAGAGAGTGAGTGGCCCAAAGTCCCTAGCTGGCTTCATGCCTAAGGCAGGATTAAAACTCTCAGTCTCCCAGTTTCTAGCCTGATGCATTTAACCACTACAACAACCTGGCTCTCATTTCATTTTTACACAGCCTTTATGCAGGTCTCATTTATACTTAACACCATACCTAGTGACTAGCTGACAATAAGTTTGTTATGTAAGTTCTTTTATTAAAAAAACATTTCTTTTTAAATATATTTAAAAATAACATTTAAATACTATGTAGATAGAATCTAAGCAATTATTTCAAATATTCTTACCATTTGCACATCCGGTGTTTAGTGTAATTTCAAGATTTTGAAAAACATTAATGAAAAATAAGTGCATAAAAATTGAATAGGATGCACAATACATAATTGTATCCAATCTGAATACAAAGTAATAACATCAGGTCCAGTATAGTATGTAGAATATGTGTTTTGCCACAGATGAGCTACTTAGACATTGGTTTCCTAGGCAACATATGTTTTGTCTCCAGGACCTGATGTGTAGCTAACCCGTTATCTCCATGTGAGTGTAAATATCCAGAATGCTGAATAATGTGCCTTATCCTATGTCATTTCTGTTAGCACTTTTTCCCATGCTTTGTTTTAGATATGGGTTTGGTGAAGCTGGAAAGCCTATATTTGGCATAGAACCAAATGCTGAACTTGTGTATGAAGTCACATTGAAAAGCTTTGAAAAGGTGAGAATGAAATTTCTTCAAATAATAAACCATCCTGTACACATTGGGTATTTACCCACAGGAACTTTTCTACAGTGAATACATTTAGGAATACCCATTCCCACCTCCATCCGGCATGTTTGTCACAAAGCTTGGTAAAGATATGTCAGCTAGGATCACAGTGTTCTTGTGTGTGTTTTATTGTTTTGGGTGGGGTCCAAGACTTGTCCTAGGCTTGTTCCTTTTGTACTTTTTTTTTTCTGGTTGTAGAAAAAAAAAATAATGTCCTGCCAAACAGTACTGAAAGGAGGGCAGGGCAAAATTGCTGAACAGGCTGTGCCCTTTTTAGGGTGATGGAGAATGTACCATCTCTGTAAAGTACAGGGAAGGAACAAGATGTACATAAGGTGGAGGTTTGATGCCAATCTATAATGGGAAATGTTCACAGGAAGGAAACTTAAATGAAAGAAATCTGTCTACCCCCAGGAGTATTGTACAGGATTCTTTCATGATTCTGTGTTATCCTTTCATATTTTTTAACTCCTTTGTCTTCAGGACAGATTTAAGTGGAGCTGAATACAGTTTGGACTGGAAAGAAACTTAATATCAGTGACATTGATATTGGGCTACTCCAAATTTCACTCTGCCTTAATTTCTGAAGCCAAATGTAACTTAGTGAAGTACTTTTTATATATAATTATTTTATTGCTTCTATTCATTCAACTTATTGCAATGGTTTTAAAAAAGCCTTGCTTATTGGGACTAAAAAATAATACGAAGTTTGAAATTAGTAAGATTCGACAAATCTTACTGTGTTGTAAAGTATAGATTAGATATCCAGTATTACATTGCTTTCTATTATTTGATTATTGCTATAAATACTTGGTTGCAGGCCAAAGAATCCTGGGAGATGGACACCAAAGAGAAACTTGAACAGGCTGCCATTGTCAAAGAAAAAGGGACTGTGTATTTTAAGGTGTGTGAAAACATTCTAGGAATAGTGACATGAAGAAAGAGACTTCTATTGATAAGTCATCTGTAGTTTTTTGTTTTTGTTTTTTACTTTGCTCAGAGGATCTATCCTTCTCGACATTCCTTTTTGTCTTTACCTTTCAATGAAATTTAGCTTTCTGAAAAGTAGAACTGCCTCTAAGCTTTGGTTTGGAGGGCTTCTGAACAGTTCTTTTCCAGTAAATGTTGATCTGTCAGAATGTGGCAAAACCGGGAGCATTTGACATTACTGCTTTCTGGTATTCAAATTCTTAATTCCAACTTGGCCATTTGCTATCCTATTGACTTCCTCCACTTCTCCCTCATTCGTCTAACATTACTGATTGTTCAAATTATAACCCACATTTAAGAAATAAATGTGTTCTACTTTTCAAAGTAATACTCATCTCTCACCTTTTTTATCTCATTCTTAGGAAGGCAAGTACTTACAGGCAGTAATTCAGTATGGAAAGATTGTATCCTGGTTAGAAATGGAATATGGCTTATCAGAAAGGGAATCTAAAGCTTCAGAATCTTTATTGTTGGCAGCCTTCCTCAACCTTGCTATGTGCTACTTAAAGCTACGGGAATACACTAAAGCAATTGAGTACTGCAATAAGGTAAAGTCACATCTAGCCATGTGGAGTTGGGGAAGCACTTGTGATGATTGATTATGGTATTTACTCAGTGTCCTTATTTTTCATTCAGTTTTTTGACTTCAGTTAACTAACACACTAGAAATAAGTATCAAAATGATACAGAAAAAACTTTACAAACCAAGTGTATAGATATTTTCTATAATAAATATAGAATAGTTGGCTACTTAAGTTCTTAGTTTATTAACACTACTTGGATAATTATTTGTATTTTGCAATTAATATACACCATAAAACAATTTTGTAGCATTTTGGAAGCTAAGGACAACTTTATAATTTTTTATATTGTATATATTTATATTATATAAACTTAAATAATTTATAATATAGATTGGTGTCAGTCTTGTAACAGCCAGGCAAGAAGCACACCCAGAAGTACTAGCTCTAACTTTATTGTAAGGTTACATTAACAGAATCTTGCAAGTCTGAAAGTACATCGCTCTCCCCTCACCTTTCCAGTCCAAGAAACCAGGGAGGCTCCCTTCTGAGACATTTGCCATGCCCCCATTCCTTCTGCAGACTCAGCTACCTCTTGTCTGACCGTTGTCTAATCTGTGGCTCTTCCTCCTGTCTCCCAAGGTCATTCCCACATACCATTATAGACTGCTGTTGTATCACCCATCAGCTGTTTTTCTGTAGGCTAAACCTACCCAGATGCTTAAACTGTTCCTCACAGGGCTTGGTTCTGGAGCTTTCATCATCGTGGTAGCCCTGTGCTGAACTTTTTCCAATTCCTCGCTGTCCTTTTTGCTAACCACTACTCCAAATGGGACTGACTGACGAGTGGAGTGAAACAATAACTTCCTGTGATGTAGTCTCTGTTCCCGTTAATACATCCCAAGATAGCATTTGCCAAATTGTAGATGCATCACTCTGCTGGCTCATATTTAACTTGTGATTGACAAGGACACTCACAAACAGTGCTGCCAAACCAGATCTCCCCCATCCTATATAAGTCCCTTACATTTTTCTTACCCAGATATAAAACTTTACATTTCTCCTTGTTAAATTCTACCCTATTCATGTCAGCCAAGTGCTCAATGCTTACAGTAGATATTTTTTAGTCTTCTCTTTAATCTAAATTATTAGCCACCTCTTCCAATTTTGTGTCATCTGCAACGTTTGTGAATGTCATCTCAGTTCCTTCATCTAAATCATTCATTAAAATGTTATTGATAAAAGTCCTGGCTGACTTTGCCTGCCTGTGTATCCTGTCTCTGAACAGTCCTGTTAAATATCTTCTATCTTGTTATTCAATGTTACAAGCTTTAAGCTTTTTCTTTCAAGATGTTCCTCAAGTGTACAGGTTTCTGAGTATAATAAAGCTAGAACAATGTGTTAAAAGTGAGACAGAAAATTTATATTACTGAGATAATTATGTAAAATAAAGGCATGTGTTTTTGGACAACGCTATAAATATCTGGGCTTTGTGAGTCACCATCTAAACTTTGCCTGTAAGTTTTCTGTTGGGCCTCCGTTTGGAAGTTTTAAGCATAATATCTACTTACATTTAGTCACTGTATCATATTACTGTTTCTGGAATATTCCATTTGTAGCTGTAAAAGGCCTGTGCTCCACAATATATAAATATCCAACTAGCTTTGGAGCAAGAAAAATATCTGTTTTTAAGCCTAGTGTAAGAGGCTTCCATAATTTTAGTGGTAGGTTATTTGAAAGACAGATTGCCATGAATGATTTTTAAATGCTTTGCTTGTTTCAGTAATATTGTTCTTATTTCTATAGAAGTATATGTGACATTGTAAAACAATCTGGTAAAAACATGCTACTTTTGAATTTTGGTTTCTATTTTTGATATACAAATGTCAATTACACTATGAAGTTTACCATATGCAGTAGGAAACTTAAGTTTTACTTTCCTATTTTAAAAATAGCTGAAGTTGATAGTTTTGTTGCTAACATTAATAAACTCATCTTTTATTATGAGACAATTTTCCCACCTTTAATTTATATTAAATATAAGAATGTTTGCTTGCAGGCATTAGCACTGGACCAAGCCAATGAAAAGGGCTTGTACCGAAGAGGAGAGGCAAGACTGCTCATGAATGAATTTGAGTTGGCAAAATGTGACTTTCAGAGAGTGCTAGAAGTGAATCCACAGAACAAGGCAGCCAAGTCACAAATTACCATGTGTCAGAAGAAGACAAAGGAGCACAATGAGCGGGACCGAAAGATATATGCCAACATGTTCAAGAAATTTGCGGAGAGAGATGCAAAGGTTTGTACTTTACCAGTATGGCTTCCTTCCAACCATTGTTAAATTCCAGGCTTTCTTACAGAATTGGACAGAAGTATTGTAATAATACAATTTTCTTTGTTTGATGCATACAAAATGTCAAGCTTCGGACACATTCATTTATTATAAACTATTTCCAGTAATTTGGTAGTACTGCTAAAATTCTTGCAACTGTTGCAAATAAGAAATAGGAATGAAATAATTGCAGTCGTGTTATTTTCTTATGGTAGTAGAAGTGATCTCTTTAAAGAATTTCTGTTTATTTATATGTAACAGTAATCAAAATAGTTAGCAAAAAACAGTGAGGTATCTTTCCTACAATTACTTCATAGTTTCTTATACACTCAAAGTGCAGCTTTATAATATAGAACATACATAGATATTTCATGTGCTTCCAGTTTATTCTAGATATATATTTAGAAAGTTCAGAGGTTTTGTGAATTACTGTGTGATTCAGAAGTTGTGTAAACAACTTCCATTTTCCATTCTGAGTCTTATACCCATCTTTGTTTCAGCAAATTTTAAAATGTTCCTACCAAGTAATTTCTTTTTCATTAATCAGTTTAGGCTGAAGGACTTACTGTTTTTTAAACTTATGCTTGTACCTTTCCCCTAACTCCCACATGGGGTATTTGTTATTGGCTGTAGGAGGAGGCCAGTAAAACTACAGAAGAGAAGGAGGAAAAGCCATCTTCTGAAATTGAGATTAAGAAGACAGTGACTGAAGGCAGTGAATCAGAGGGCCATGTATGATTGTGCAGCAGAAGGACAATCCTGAATTTAGCCTGCACCCAGACAGGTTTCTGAAGAACTCAGAAATTCAACAGTGTTTATTGTAAAGTTTGTTTCAGTAGGCATTATTGTGGAAGCAAAAAGCCTATCCAGCAGCTTCACAAGAAATGATAAAATTACTGCCACTGCTATGACCATGCTCAGCAGTGCAACATAAACCAAGGACAGCATGGGACCACTTCAAGTGGAACAAATGGTTCAGTAACAAATACCCACAATGGTTCTTGATTATAGATGGCTCAGAGCTCCTTTCAGTTTGCATCGACTCTTCAGACAGTGACCAGGATGGGGCTTTATGGTTAGAGCACACAGGAGCTGTCAACCGTATAGATTTGGCATTGCATTTGGTTGTATTTATAATAGTGTGGTAACACCACATGGGTGTATTCTGTAGGTCAGAAAGAAAGACCCAAGTGCTACCAACTCAAGGTACCACTCTTGCGTTAGTACAGTCAAGTGGAAAACAGTTTTAAAAGCCAGACTCCTGGGATCTTATTCTCTCTGTCTTGTAGTTCCAATGGGTTTCTGTAGCACAATAGTTTCTCAGGGAACTGAGTAGTCCAAATCACATTATTATTGTTGTTCTTGTTCTTGTTGTTATTAAATGATTGCTTGCTGGCAAGGTCCCTGATCCATTGAGGACTGAGTACAGCAGAAATGCCAGCTTCTGGGTGTGAGCATTTCCCACCTCCCACTCCCCACTGGGCTATAAAATGATCAGCACCAAACGGTGCTGATTAGCTGCTGCAGAAGGAGGGGAAGAAATCTGGACTGAACCAGGCAGTTTTTCTTCCCTCTCCAGTATCAGTTGGGCGCGGACATAGGGATGCTCAAGGACAGTAGGCTTTTTCCTTTTTATGCATTTTTCTTGCTGTATGGGACAAATGTATGCAGTAATCAACTTGAATTATGTGTTGAGACCTTTTGAATGCATTGCTCAAGTTTATAACATGATAGCAATCAGGATATTAAAAAAGAAAGAAAAATATTTCCTTTCAGGAAATTATTATGATTAGTCTTATCAGTAATATAGTGACATGTTTTGCAACATTAAAAACACTTTTAGAAACTAAATTTGTAATTTGCTTTTAAGGTTTTTTTGCTCATTCTGGGATTCTTACTTTAAACTCTTGTTTGGATCCTCCTGAAGCTGTCAGCTTGTTTTTGAATGCTTTGTAAAGCAAAGTGGGTCCACTCTGAATGCTATAAATGACAGGACTGTGTAGTGTTTCAGATATGAAGGTGAGAAAGTTGCTTCAGAGTGCATGGAAATGCAAACAGCACCTATCTGCAACTCCTTAAAGCAAACACATCTTTTCCCAGAATCATACAGCAAGCAGCCAGGAGATCCTGAGAAAAGGTGCGGCTGCTTCTGGAAAATGCCTTTGAATCTGAAGTGCCAAACCATTTTTGCCTTCAAATCCAAAACACCACTCAGCCCTAATAAATATTTCTTACATATGTTTTCAAGATAAAATTTTTGCTGCAGATGGCTCATATCAATCTGCATTATATCTCAAAATTCATCAATAGCACTGAAATGCATTTATGTGCTCATTCCTAGGGAAAGATAATTCTACTTAAGCCCCATTGAAATGGCAACATGTTTGCCTCATTGCTTTCAGTGGAGCTTGTGAACTAATTTTCTCTGGGTGTGGGCCAACATGTTTACTGATCTGTGATGGAACATTACATTTCATGGTGCGTAGAGCTGTACCTCCATTACAGAATATGTAGGGCATTTTGCTTTCCTGTATGTCAGATGGGCAACACTGCTATATTTTAAAATTTGTTTAGTATTTTTTATGTTAATTTCACTGAGAATTTAACAAATGCTTAACTTTTTGTCCTGGTGGTTTTCTTCTCTGATAAAATGCGGTTTTATGGTTTTTTTCTCTTCCTTTCTGTTCTTATTGAAATCATTGTTCTCTCTTTCTCTCTCTCTCTCTCTCTTTTCCACTAACTGTTGTTCCACTGTTTAATTGTACATGAACATAATCAGAGAAGAGCTAAAACCTCACTGGCATTATTTTTAAACTTTAAGTGGAACATGGCTTTCTTTGTCCTAATAACATGGGGATATACCCAGTCTTTGAATAGGAAAGCAGCATCTGTAGGTACTAGGCAGATATTCTGATGGTAATATCTGAAATTTGAATGATAGATTCTTGCTGGTTATTCTGTTCACTTTAACAGAAACTAAATTTTATTCACCATGGTTAATCCTAGCTTTTGAATTATTCTATACCTCTCTACATATACCCAAATTTCTGTATAGGATGCTAAGAGATGAAGTAATAATATTGCTGTCTAGAATACACTGACCAGCAGTTTTGAACACATGTCCAGATGTTCATTTTGTTACATAGCCAATTGTATTATGTTTCTATACCAAATCATAGCCTTCAAAATTACTTTCATGAGCCATATTGACACAGTAGGGAGCAAGTCTTTCAGATTTAGAGTGCAAGTCATGACTCTCATTTTTGCTTTCTGTGTTCATGAACTGCATGAATTATTGAAAGTCTTAATATAATAAACATCCACAATAAACAAGAAAGAGGATACAGATCAGTTTTGGATGTAGATTATCCAACAATAGCAAAGAAGAATGAATTTTTTATATTGCAATATTTCACCACTGCTACAGAACTTAGTACAAGCAGTAATGTTTCCTGTTGTCTGGTATTTTATCGTTTTTTTCAAGCAGGAACATGACCAAACGGAATGTCACTCTTAGACTATAGATGGATTTGTCAGTCTTGTTTGAACTGTGAATTTTGAGGGTACTCAGCTTGATCTTCCAGATGATGATGATTTATGATGCTAATTATGGTTTCAGTTTCACCATGATTGTTTTAGCTGCAAGAAAGATTTTCTGTTTGAAATAGATAAAATTTTAATGGGTGAAGGGCTCTCCCAGCTAGGGAGGATCGATTGCCCTTTAAATATTATGTGGTATCCAAAATGTGTTCCAGTTCTTTTAGAAAAGTTATTTTCTGCTGTCCTAAAATCTGTGACTGAAACAAAGCAGTTGTTTTAGCCTTTCCACCTGTATCAGTTCCTATATTTTTATGCTATCTGTCATAATTTTAGCATGTGATCCCTGGCTTCAACTAAATCTTCCCTTTCTCTCATATCTGTACCATTACTCTCATTTCTCATCAAATTGTCACTAAACTCAGAACTTTGCTGAGGGTATCTGTGTAGTGTGATGTGGCTTGGAAATGTGTACCTCTACAGGTGGATGTTTAACAGTTTCCTGTTGTGCATCCTGTAGATTCTTAGCTTATTTTTAGTTATATGGCTGTGGAACATCAAGATAACTACATCTACTTGAATAATGTGGCTTTTATTTTGTTACTCAGCTCAGCCATTTGATGCTTGATTCCTTGCTCTAAATTAAGTTAGCTTAAAAATTCAGTTTTAATTGTTTCATGTATCTGGATTATACTTTGTTAAGAATACTATAGAAAGAGGAAAGTGAAGTAATCCAGTTCATCCATCAGTAAGATTTCTATGTGATTTTTCTCCTAATCTATCTTTTTTAAAAAACAGAAGATCAGATATTTTCCTCTTGTAACTCGCTAAATGATTGCTACTGATAGGAGTCAATTATCCTTTGCTACCCAGCTTATACATAGTTGCTAGTAAACTACTCAAAAGCTACCTTTGCAAAAGCTTCCTTTGTTGGGGTCTCCTGTTAAATAGAGAGAAATATAATCAGTAGCGGTACAGTGGACAACTTCCTGAACTGTTTTCTTAAATATATCGACCTTTTTTGCAAAAATGATAATCGTTTTGTATGACTTTTAAATTGCCCCTGGATTGGACATACTTTTTTTTTTGTTTTTTTACTATCAGTGGACTCTTAGAAACACAGATGTATAGTACCCTCACCAGAAATGGGCTTGCCAGTATTAGTGCTCCACTAATGTATCTTGTATAATGTAATTGGGTTAAAAGGTGTGAGAAAGATGAATTATTCACTAATTAGTGCAATCTTGTTATCTGTTTTGATATCTACTGACTCACATGGGCTTATATTCTGCTAAGACAGATCAGAGAGACATACACACGTATTTTAGCTGCCTTATAAGAATCTGGCCATAATCCACATTGTCAGTTTCAAGATTTCACATTACTGCTAATAATCTATTGTCCTACACAGTTCAGTGCCTGTTTCTGATATGTGCAGAGAATATCAAATATTCAAATTCCTATATTGTCTCTTTTGTTTTCATTTTGCTAAAGCAGACAAACTTTGACATCTATATGACACCTAACTTATTTTCATCTATTTCCATAAGGTCTTAATTCAGCAGTCAATAACTGAACTAATAATTGGTTTCACCTGGCCCATTATTCCTGATTGCCTTTTTTTTTCTTGTTGTGATGCCCATATCTAAAGGATCAATAACTTATATTTGACCTTGGTAGCTAACAGAACATGCAACTGCATTAATTCTGCCTCTTTCTTAGATCACAGGAAAGGGCGATGACTTGTGCCTATAGCTCTGATGGGCTCTCAGAGATATTCACAAGTAATGAGAATGTTTCACTGTTGCAAAGTGCCTGTAAATCCCAGCTTTGCAGATTACCATCTATCAGTCTCTCACTTTGTGCCTATAAGCCATGCTTAGTTCAGTGATACACTTACCACTATTTAAGAACTCTAGACCATATGAGTCTGGTGACCTAAAGACTAAAATGCAGATCTGTACTCCACAGAATTACCTCCCAACCTACCATGTTTTTGCTTTCCACATGGAGTATTTTCTGGGTAGCATGGCCTAACAAAGCCTGTTAGTGTCTTAAGAACATAATACCTGAAAAAGTAGGCTGATAGTTCTTCCAAAGGAATATTGCTGCTGAATGTTTTCTCTTTATGAAAAATACAGATGCATAGTTATCCTTTTACTGTATATTGTCTATTGACGTGTGAAAGATGGTAGCAAGCTCTCTTTCCAGAAGTCTTGTGAGGCAAATATTTGCCTCTTGCCTACTTTCTAAGTTCCTACCTATCCTGAATTACTTGTAATGTGGAGTGCCAAGTTAATAGCTTGAAGACTTTTCAAATGGGACAGATGGATTCATGGAAGGTAGGTCTGTAAAAAACTACTGACCAAGTTGCAACTTCCATCTTATCAGAAAACATATCTTAGGTAGCAGACAGTGGGAAGGAAATAAAGAGAAGTTGCTATCTTATTCTGCTTTGTGAGTCATCCTTCTGAAAGCATTTACCTGGTCAACGTGGGAAACAATGCTGGAATAATGAGCTTTAACTTTAATTTCTCTGAGCAGTGTTTTACTTGGTTTCATTCTCCAAAGTTTAGCTTTGCCTTGTATATAAATATGTACTAAGCACACCAGAATTATGCAGGCATTGTATTGTGCATCATGTTTTTCTTGGATCCTGGTTGTTTCTGCTCCACTCATTGGAAAACTCATCTTGGAGGAACTGCATATTGGAGCTCAGAAAGATGGGAGATTGCAATTAGTTTAGAATACTCCAAGCCTCAGAGGTTTATATCTGAGAAACTTCAACACATTTTAATAATACAAAGGCATCAGATAAATTATAAAACAGTCCTTGAAACTGCTAAAGGGGGATAAGTGTCCCCCTCTTTTGTTCACCACACAACTGATACTTCGATGACAGAAGGCACAGAGTAAACAAGGGAAGCCATCTATTACTTTGATTTTCTGCTATGGAAAGTTGTGATATTGAAGCTGCAAGTCTTGTGCACTTTTTCTTAAAGGACTGGCTATTGTGTTTGGAATGAGGTATACAATAGCCTCCACAGTACACTTCTATGGCTATGCTAAGATAATGGCTATCATTACTATATCTTTGTCCAGGGACAATTGTTCCACATCCAGCCTGAAATTGCAAATTGCAGGATTGTTTAAGGAGGGAAAAAGCTGTTTTTGTGGCTATATTAATGCTCTGTATTACTTGCTTCTGTTGGGAAGCCAGGATGTTTGTGTTATTAATCATTTACCTTACTTTACATTTGCTAAGAGGAAAACCAGTTTGGTGTAGTGGTTAAGGCATCAGGCTAGAAACTGGGAGACTAGGAGTTCTAGACTCGCCTTAGGCATGAAGCCAGCTGGGTGACCTTGGGCCAGTCCCTTTCTCTCAGCCCTAGGAAGCAGGCAGTGGCAAGCCACTTCCAAAATCTTGCCAAGAAAACTGCAGGGAGTTGTCCAGGCAGTTGCCAGGAGTCACCACTGACTTGAAGGCACCATAAATAAAATACCTGCTAAAACTGCACAGTGAACCTGTGGGCAGCACCATATTCTTCATGAACCCTTTCTTCACTGACAGACAGTGAGGTTTTCAACTCCTGTGAGCGGAAATGTGGCCTTTCACACATTATCTTAATGTGCTTTTTCCTTAGTCTAAATACTGATCTTTTGTCTCCAAAGACAAAAATGAAAGCAAAGGCCACTTCTAAGGGAGAGAGGACTGAAAGCTCTGCTTGCCCAGCATGTGAAACTCTAAACTCTGTTTAACGAACTATGCTAGCTAATACAAAAATTAATCAAACTACAGGGTGTATTACTGTGTTGTGTATAATCACAGCATCATGTCGTCATGTTAAATTGTGTGTGTGCGTGTTGGCTTAATTTGTTATATTAACACAGCCATTATTTTTGTTAACCATAGCTTATGGATTAGCATGTGCAAAAGTAACCAGTGCGTCAATTACCACTTAGAGAAGAAAGCAGAGTATGCTGTTGATTTCAGAGCAGAGAGTCTGCACCTCCTTTCTTTAGAAGAAATTGACTGACTCTAATGAGACAATGAATTCTACCCAGTGTTTTCTTGCAAACGCTGACTGAGCTCTTGAAGCCACAAAAGTGGGAAATATTATTCTGAAATACCCTCAAACCATGTTGCAAATACAACAAAAGCAGACATCACCACCATAAAGCTGGTGGTTTGCTGTTTGAGTCTTTCCCCCAAAACTTTCCCTAGAAAGCCAGAGTTTTACAGAGTCCATTTAGCTCTCACCTAGTTGGCCTTAAGATATTGCTACTCAAGGAGGCATCTGAATCCTCTATCTTCCATGCTGCTGGAGGCAATACGAGCCTATAATGACAAATTATATCATTGCTTTCCTATAGGTAGTTGAAAGAAAGAAATACAGCAACAATACAGCCTTAAATCAGTGGAAGTTTCCCCCTCCCCGCTTTTGTGGATTCCTTTTAGAATAAGGAAACCACGTCTATCTCTTCTTGCAAGGAAATCTTTCACGAAGCAGTTGTGCAAGTTGCAAACTGCCATTTCTTCTGTCAGATGGCACCTACATTGCTGCCATGTATGTGCATAAACACACGTGCCCCGAGAACTTTTGGCACTCATTTTTAAATGTTTACTTTTTAGACAGGTGAGGAAGAAAAATGTACTTCTGCTGCATTAAAGCAAATGAACACCCAAAGTATGAGAGGAAAGGCAAGGGTGATGGTTGAACCAGTACTTGACCTAAAGCTTGCAAGTTGGACTTAGATTACTAGTGAAGTATCTGATATGGCTGATCTTTAAATACAGTATATGTCTTCATTCTGTGACATTCTTGTCTTTATACATATTTGGAAGGATTCTTGGAGTCTGGTCATTTTTGTATCCACCTGTAATTCATCATAGAATAGCTGAAAAATGGAAGTCATTCATGCAGTAAAGAAAACCACTACTTTAGAAAGAAAAGAAGTTGCCCCATTTCATATTGAAATCCACCAAAAGAATCATGATCAGATACAGTATTGTTGATTAGCTACCTTATTTTCTGTCCAGCATAAAGGTCTGAAGGAATGTTTCCAATAGAATTTTAACTTGTAAAGAAAGAGCAGTAGGGTAGCGTCGTCCTATAACACTCGTTGAAATATAGCACAATAAATTAATATGTTTCTAGTAGAACATGGCTGTGCTGAGTAGAAAATAACAAATCTGAATTCTTTAAAAAAAGTATTTTTTAAAAAAATTAAAAGGCGAACATAACTGAATAGGAAGCTTAGTTCTGTGGTGCTTAAAGTAGCATACTGCTTATACGATGGCTGGTGTGGGTCTTCTGGGCTGTGTGGCCGTGGTCTTGAAGTCTTGTCAAGACTTCAAGAACACGGCCACCCAGCCCGGAAGACCCACACCAGCCATCGTATGCCGGCCGTGGAAGCCTTCAACAATACATACTGCTTATACGTTGCACATGGATGGATTGTTCCAAGCATGATCTAGTAATCTGTATATCCTTGCAAGGTAAAACCTTCCCAAAACATCTGTTACCGTGATTTAAAGCACTTAAGTGTTGGGGAAACCATTTTTAACCCCTATTTGTATGAAATCTTGAAAGAAAAATAAAATCTGATCTTTTTTCCCAGCATGTCATGCTTTGTGTTTTTCTATATCTCTCTTACCTATTCTTACAATCAGGAACTACTATAATCCGGTAATGTATGTGTCTTAATTTATAACAGTACACATTCGTGAAACAAGGGGCACATCCTAATACAAGTAGGTATGTCAGAGATTTCATTGGAGAAGGGAAGTCAGCGTAAACCAGCTTTGTGAAATAAAGTCAGTTTACTTGGCACTGAAAGAATGTGATGATTTCTGAGCCATAACATATTGGTACTTTTGAAATATATGTAATTTAATTAATGTTATTTGCAGCCATTAGCAATTGCAAAAGCACCATGGACTATAGACACCCCAAACTGCAAGAAAGGCTGAAATAAGTGAAATTTCCTTCTGTGTCTGAGCAAGGAGAGATAATCTTATGACCTTACCAAGGTCAATTTGCCATGACATGTATTGTCTGTCTAATAAACTAGATGAACTGAGCTGTTATTTCTATAGAAACAGAGAACAGCATGTCATCTAAATCCAGGAAGGGGATTAATCTGTGTCTAACTCTGCCTTCTGGCCTTTGGACAAAGATGGGAGGCTAAAATAGCTGTAAAATGGAGCAGCTCTAGCTGTAGCATCTCTTTAGCTCCCTTCCCTTGACCTTCCCTGGATGCTTGTAGAGTAAAATAAAAGCAAACAAGGGAGAGGGGGCTTTCATCTCCAGAGTTGTATTTTTTTAACCCGGAGTAGCTGGAATAATTATGAAAATGCCATGTTAACTGGCTTCCCATCAATATTTCCACAGACTTCACCACACAGCAAAAGCTACTAAAATGCCACTTTTGCAACAACTAACCAAAGCACTCACTGCTTGACAAAGCCTCAAACTGGGACATGGAGTGATTGTAAGCACTGATCGACAACACATAACCGTTGGCAGTCAGTGCACTATGTAGTTAAATTTACATCTGTACCTAAAAGTGTCCTTTATGAGAGAGATTGCTGGTAGATGGTCAGAATGGATATTTCCTCAGAATGAAGGAATAGTTTGGAGAGAGTTTGTTGCATCACTCAGTGAGACTACCATCTTGGGAGTGGTGGCACATTCAACCTCTGCAGCTGACATAAGGATGGGCAACTCACAGTCTGTGGGCAAGGGCATCTGATGAGGGGATAAAGTCAAGATGGCAGCTACACCACAGGATTGAACTTTGTGTCTTTTTTAGAGCCTGCCAGGATAGGAACAATTGGCAAACAGCATGGCTTTATTGTAGGAGTGTCATACAACACATGAGAAAAGGGATGGGGCTTTGTCACATGGTTGTGGCCACCATTCTGACTTCTGACACCCCTCCCAGTGTGGCTGTGCTTGTGAACCATCTGCAGCCCTTCAAACCTCTCCAGATCACAGAAAAAGGGCCAACTTTAGTGATATAGTTGGTGGGGTAAATTAAAGGCCACCAGGCTGAGAAGGTTTCCAACTACTATTCTAAGAGGAGAGGCAAGTGTGAATATCAGAAAGGGGGGCTGAAACAATAGTAGGCATGCATGATTATGACTACTGTGAAGCAAGTTAGTGTGTAATGGAAAAACCTGTCCTTGCTCAAATCATAGGCAATGGAGCCAAACCTCATAGTAATGCTATGTAAAATGCATATATGACCACGATGGAGAGAAACTTGGGACCACACATTTTGGGAGGGGTTTTAATTCTTCCCCCCACACCTATCTTGTCTTCTCATTAAAATATTCCCCAAAAGTGTTAATTTCCCCCAGATGGAAGTTTTCTGCTGCCCTCCCGGGGCAAATGGCTCTGGGGTGTTAAGTTCAATGACACCGCAGCACAGAGGAACGGTTGGCCCCCATTTCCTGCACATCAAAGCACCAAAGCATCTTGATTGGGTCTGTAAAGATGTGATTGGATGCTTGAAGGATGTCACAAACTTTATGCCAGTCAAAAAGGTTTGGGGAAGATTATTCTGTCTTTATATAATGAGGAACTGAGCTCTTTTGCTTTTCCCCATCACCTCTGCTAACATAACATCAATTTCCTTTCTTGCCTACAGCTAATTCTTTGAGAGTCATTTGGGTAATACTGTGATAGTTAAAATGCCACCTAGTGGAAAAATATGCCTCTAGTCCTGAAATGAAACCAGGGTGCAGCAAATTAACAAGAAATGCCATGCCAAAGATGAGTATCATTCCATCAAAACTGAGAAAAGAATGAAGCTCTAAATCAGAGATAAGGGTCTGTTTTTTTTTTTTATGGGTTTCCATTCAAGCCCACTGCAGAATGATTCCATTGCAACAGCAGATAAGGTAAATAATCAAGCTTATAGAAAAGTTCATGTAGGTTTCTAGACAACAATCCAGATTTCAGAGGTGATTTGCTGTTGCTTCCTTTTTTTCAATTTGTCCTAACCTACGGCTCTGAGATTTCCTGGAAGATTCCCATCCAGGTCTGAACCTTCTCAGCTTTTCAAGATAAGCCAAGATTGATGAGGCTCAGTCATACTATTTTCTTAGAGGTACCCTTATTGAATGCCTCCTAATATTGGCAAATAATCCATCTGAATAGGAAAGTTCTCTGTAGATTTATAGGTGAACATAAAACATCAGTACTGGGAAGGGAACAGGATTTATAAGGAGCCTTACCCTTAGTGATTCCTATTCCATTTCTCAGTTTTAAATTAGCAGCTAAAGAAACCATCCCAAAAGAGGCCCCTTTTGTTGCCTCCCCATAACTTTAGGATTGAAAGCATTCCAATGTCTAATAAAGGGACTATATTTTATTTTCTAAAATGACATTTGCCTAGGAGAAATTAATGTAGCAATAGGAATAGGAGTAAATATCTCTTTGTTTCTGGAAAACAATTAGCAACTATTACAGAGATTCAAGTGCAGGCTTAGGATGCTCCAGGTATTGTGCTTTTAGTGGTCTAGCTTCTACATTTCACCAGTTGAAGTTTCCACACACTATTGTTCAGGATATTGCACTCTCAAGCCATATTATTACCCCAGCATGAGTACCTATGCCAGCTCTCATCAGCTCAGAAATGTCAGTAGACGCAACTGTGCAAACACACTCCTTCGCCATTGCTGCCATTTGGGGATCCAGAGAAAACTGGAAGCCAAGGAGCACCCCTAGTCTGTGTATTTGCCCTTTCAGAGAAAGGACAATGCATACAGAACAGGCTGAAACCCAGTTTCAGAGCCTGGTTTCTATTAATCAACACCTAATTGGGATTTAATTTCAGCTTCTCCAGCCTATTACTGATCTTTAGGTATTTATCTAGTGACGCTGTGGATTTGGGGGATTCCTCTCTTATTTGCAGTTTGTCTTATCTCTTGAGTCATGGAGAACTTATTTTGTGGTGCCCTTGTTTTGGCAAGCTATGGCCTAGATTATGTACAAACCAATGGGTAAGATAGAGAAATTCCTATCTTCATGATAAAGGACAGACAAGGTAGAGTTTGTAGAATTCCAGTGCAGTTCATGTCAATTTGAGACAAATTGTTACTCAGGGCAGATGCTTCTAGCCTGTCCTGGCTTAATGCAAAATATTTTGTGAAGTTTCATTCATGGTCATTGCTACAGCAGAGCTCTGCCATGCTTACAAACGGCAGTTTAATGGCAGTCACACCAAAAGGAAGAAAATAACACTTTTGGTGTTTGCTTGCATTGAAATGCCTTACTGAAGAATGGTACAGAACAGAAAGTTTTGCATTCAGTGATCATAAAGATTGTCCTCAGATCAGAGGGATCAGACCACTCCTTATGCCAATCACTCCATTTTGATGGATGGTGAGATCATGATTACTGATCCTTTTTGAAAATGACTAGGCAGTGAGGAGACCAAGTGAGAGTTGGCAGGTAGGCAGGGCAGCTCTCAGTCAAACTGTGTTTGCAGAGATTTACTGGGGGGCTTTGGGAAGGTTTTGGAAGTGATAGGAGCAGAAGTTGCTAATATCGAAAAGCAAAAACAGCAACAAAAGTACAGAATAAGATGCTTATGATGGCTTATATCAGATTCAGATAAGAGGTTCTAGTCCAGCTTAGGAGCCATTAGAATCACAGTCACCAGAATTAATGGTTAGGAGAGGGTCAAGATGGAGTTTGAGGAAAGTAATGTTGTTTTTAATGGTACTTTTATATTATAGTTTCTCTGGGTGTTGTGCAAACAGCTGAAAACTAAAACTATATATAATAGTGTAAAACAGTACAAATTATCAAAACCTAATAATAGTTCTACAGAGGAATCCCAAGAACCAGACCCAATAGGGTTATGCACTGCTTCAAATTTGGTATCTCCAAAATGCAGATCAACAGGGCAGTTGCATGATCCCAGGAAAAAAATACTGCTGACTTCAGAGCCTGCATCGAGTGTTACATTTCTGCCCCTGTGCAGTCCAAAGCACCCTTGGAGATTGAACCCAAAGCACTGCACAGTATTTCCAGACTCTAGCAATTATGCTGGGCCAGCAACAGACCCCACCAACCCTCCCTTGGACCCACTAGAATCTGACCTAGATCAGAATGCTATGAATGGGGAGAATTGTCTCCAATTCATAACATCTTCATTTCTTGTCACTCGCACTCTCACATTAGACAGCTTTTCAGTAGGTGTTAATTTGTCTAGGCCTAGGTCATATAGTGCCCCCTAGTGGTCAGTAGTGAATATGACCATTCTAGACCAGCATCTTCTCTACCAATTGTCAAGAGCACCATTGTCTGAGGTAGAAAGTGTTGGGCTCCCGCAGAGACATGGACAAATACAGCCTGTAATTTTTATTGGCTTCTAGGAAACGATGGCTTTATAACAAAGCTTATTGCTTCTGATATACTATGAAGATAATTCAGAATTTATATCCAGCCAGATTTCAAACCTTTCATGATCTTTTGCAACATTTTCTGAACAGCCTTTTATTTCCTCTTATCTCCAGTCCTTATGATGTCCATTGGTGATGGATGCTTGCTTACATTCTCTGCATTCTTGCTCACCCATTCAAATAAATCCAACAAATTAGGGGGGCTTCTGGGGGAGGAATGGTGGATTGAAGACTGTGGCGAAGAATGAAGAACTGGTGAGTTAACCAGCTCTTTGGAACCTCTCTGGACAAAGAGAGGATGGGAGATTGCCTACATGTGCTCCAGATGTCTGTTCCTCACAAGGAGGCCACAGCACAGCATCTCCCACGGGTTTGAGTGCTGGGAGATAATGGGAATAGCCATCTTGCTCACAACCATGGCCGGCACCTTTTAAAGGACACTAAGTTTGCTAATCTCTTTCTAATCATTTTTGGAAATTGCTTTTAGCTATTAGAGACCTTCGGAATGACAAGTTTGAAAATGCCAGGTAAGTTTGTCTTCAATCCTGAAAGAAAGAAAATTGTAATCACAAGCTTAAGAATTTAAAGAATTTGAAATAAACAGCAAAAGGCTAAATAAGATTTTGATTTTAGAAAGTTATAAACAGACTAAGGGTCCAGATAAATTTGGAATATAGAAACTTTTAAAATAAGATTTTGGAATTAATTATAAAGAACAAACAGCTTCTTGTGGGAAATAAATCTGTTTTGTGTTTTGCAAGACATAACAAAGATAAGTAATTTTATGATTCTAAAAACTGGACAAGAGAGGGGACTAAAGATTCTAGGCAGAGGAAAAAAACACAAGCCTACATTTTGTTAATTAACTGGGACCTACAAAATGATGCAAAACATTATAACACTGAAAATACTAAAGGAGAGTTTTGAAGAATGGAGACAGTAGTCACAATATCAATATTATCAGTCATGATGTCTGCCTCTATGGATAGATTATGTCCAAAGATGTTATTGAAGAAATGACAGATGTGGAACAAATTTTATCTGACAAGATAGATATGGTAGCAAAAGTGGATTTACAAATGAGAGACTTGGAAAAGGATGTCTCACTGGATATATACAAGAAACTGGCTGATGTTTTAAAAATCAAAAGAGAAATGCAAATGATACACCAAGAAAATGACCTGGACAATTTTTTTCCTATTGGATTTACAAAAGAGTCTTGTTAAAGCCTTGAAGAACTCTGTACGATGGGATAAAGAAGAAATGAAGAGAAATCAAATCCTACAACAATATTTGAATGAACTAAAG